ATGATCCGGAAAACACCATTAAATTCCAAATGTAACTGATCGTAAAAAAATAAAATAAAAATGCAATGACAATAAAGAAAACGGCAAGTAATTGTTTATCTAAATTATGATAATACTGTGTTGTATGCATTAGGTTTCATTATTTTTTTTCTCAGATTTTTGGTATATTTTCAACAAATTTTTGAAAGTTTCATCATAAATCCATACGGTTCTTTCTCAACGATTGGCTGCAGTAGCAGTAAAATGAGGCAATATTCAAGGCCTCGTTCATAAAAGCAACCTTTGACTTTTTCTGTTCTTTCAGGAAATTTTCTTTGAAAAGAGGTGTTCAGAGTCTAGTGCACCTACAGTTTTCTCACCCTTAAGAAAAAGTTTTTTTTCTGACTTACTAAAGGGTTGAGATCACTGATATCACTCTGCTCCAGAGTAACTTTGAGTCTGTTTATATGTTTGTTGGAACAGAGAGGTCAGATAAGAACAGACTCTTCAGCTCATCAGCCAGAAATTCTGTCTGTCAGACATTCAAGCTGCATGTTGGGGTTCTGCTGCGAGTCCAGCAGTCAGACAGAACGCAGACCTTCAACAGATCATGTGCTGTTAGTTGGCAAACCAACTGGAACCTTATTTAGCTCCTCTGGACTGACTGAGAAACCTCAGCTGTGGGCCGATAGAGGATGAAAGGCAACAATTACCAACTACTGCGTATTTCTCAAGGCTCTTTTAAAAGTTTGTAACGTTTTTGTTTTTAATTGCTACACAAGAAAACTGCAGCTGCATTTCTGTAGAAGCCCATGGTGGAAGTAATGTGACTTTTGCATAAACTGAACTTATAGTGTATACTTGTACTGTGTTGCAATGACCTTTCTAGTGGGTTGTCTTTAGTTCTATTATTGTATGGGATCATTATTATAATAAATGATATTATCTGCATACTTCTCAAGCCTTGTGTAACTGACCTGTTGTTTAGGATCGGTTTGCAAAAGCTCAGTTGAGTTCAGTTGACAGTAATTTGCAAAAATAAAAAAATAATAAAAAACAATACTGTAGTTTTAGGGCTGATGTTGAAAGTGACTTCCAGAGTAGAAAAAAATCCAATAAAGATATATATCGGCCCGTATCATGTATATATAAATAAAAGATATACAATACATGTTGGACTTTATCAAGTTTCCAGTGTTGTATTTCACAAACTAATTATCAGCTGTTCAAGCAGACACCAGCTGACTCCGCACCACCTGCTGCTCTGCTACAGGTGCTGCAGACAGTGCTGACAGCCTATAAAGAACTGAGTCTGGGCTGCTCTGCTGGACAAAGTGCCTAAAGTATATTTTTCTGCATTATGTTCTGCAAAACACTGCATATAGAACAACACATATACACCAACACTTATACATCAGTAAAAGGATAATATCAGCCAAATGACATATTGGATTTTTGCATCTAAAAACTTAAGATTCAGGTCTGATTAATGAAGGTGATGATCCAAGTTGTAACTGTGATAATCCAGCAGCTTTTCATTGAGTGAAGGCAGGTTTACTGTGATGAGATTAAACCGAGCTCAATCTCAGATTAATCTTATTAAAAGGTGCCACATGCCGCCTCGACTAACTCAAGGCACAACATTTTACCAACATGTGGCCACAGAAACAAACTCTTCTTATGCGAAACAAGGGAGTCCACATGCTGCCTGTTGTGTTGACTGAATTAACAAGAAAAACTGATCATGTTCAGATGCGGAACTCGGATAAATGACATGTAAAACAGCTCTGCAGCAGGCTACACCCAGAGGAACCGTTACCAGCAGCAGGACCCCACCGTGGGCTTCTCTGCACCTGCTGCTCCAAACAAACCACACGATCAGAAAACTTTACACCTGAGACAAACCCACAAAGTTTTTCTTACCGCTTCAGTGGTGCAAACTTTCCCCAAAAAGTCCAAATTAGTCTCTTTTTTGGCGACCAGTTGCAGACTGTTGAGCGGCTCAGTCAGCGTGACTCTGAAACAAGCCGGTGTCCGAGAATCAGTCCGATATCAGGCAGAAAATCAGCATGAAAAACCCGATTTACTTTTCACAAATAAACCAAGTGAACCAGCGAAGGATGTGATCCAAAGAAGGTCCTGCGCCTGTTCACTAAACTTGTGCAGCTTTTTCTGCTTCCTTAGCAGGAGCCAGTGAGCCGCTGATTGAAACAAAGCTGCTGAGCGGAGCTACGTCAAGGTGGACGACACACGAAGGTACGTCCGGTCCGAGGGATTTCAACTTAAACTGCATTATTACATTTTATGTCAAACATTATTTACTTTCTATTTTAGGGGTCTGTTTTCATCTCAGTGCAAATACTAAGCTGTATTTACAGAAATATCATATGTCAGTAAAGAAAAAAAAAACTTTTCACTTTATTTGTGTGTCAATATTGTTCATAAACTTTGTTGTTGCACAGAGAATAAACCTGGTCGTTTGTGATCATGAGAATGCAATTATTTGCACATTTTCAAACCAAAAAAACATAAAGACCAACCCTGCCCAAGGTCTGAAATATTTCCACTCCAAGTACAATCACTTTTTAATTTGTCTGAAAAGTACAATACAAATATTGTCTGATTGATTCATTGATTTATTGGTTCTGTAATGTCCATGTAGTACTGAAATTAAAGGGAGATAGGTTTTGCTTGCCTCAGCTCTCTACAGTTGAAGGTAAGATGTTTTATTCTGCCTGATAAAACAAGTTACATTATTGATCACATAATTACAAATGACGATGCTCAAAACAACTTGTCACCAATTACTTAAACAACCCTCCACTGAAATCCATGTTCACTGTACTTATTTTTGCATTATTTCTTCATGTATTTTTTTCTTCTTATTATTATCATTCCTTTTTTTTTTTTCCCCAATTTCAGTTAGCTTAATCAACAAGGCTAGAGGCCCCTAATCCCCACCATAGGCCTTGACTCAATGTGTTATTTTCAAGCAAAGCTTTTAAATAAGATTATGATTTACTTTTTACATTATTTGCTTTACATAATTGCATATTTCAAGTTGTTTAAAAGTCACACTGTGAGACTTTTCACATTCCCAAGTGAATCATTCCCACATTCCTGCACAATCTGTAAAGCTTTCTCACTTAAATAACAATGTAAACACTTTTACTACTTCTCTCATAGCTTAGGTTTGCTGGACGTGCTTTTTATTTGACTTGTAACGCTTGCTTCTCATGTATCGTGTACCGCTTACTGTTTATTTAACTTGCAACACTTTCTTTTGTCTGTCTGCACTTAGAGACAGACAACCAAGCACACTCACATTCACACCTACGGACAGTTTAGAATCACCAATTAACCTAAACATGTTTTTGAACTTGTGGAAGGAAGCCAGAGAACCCGGAGAGAACCCACGTTGCACATGTGAACTCCACACAGAAAGATCCAGGGTGTCTTCACTGGGATGCGAACCAGTGACCTTCTTGCTGTGAGGCAACGGTGCTAACCACCGAGTCACCTTGCAGCCCAATTTGAAAAATATTCATTTAAATTATTGTCTTTTATTTTGTTTAATGATGTGCGCTGACAGGAAGTGACACTCTCAGCAACTTTGTGTAACTTGACAGCTTTGGAAGTTTGAAGTTGCAGTGAGAGGATTTTCACTGTCCCCTGTTGTTTTCCATACATGGAGGCGATTTGAATTTACTCGAGTTATTCCGAAACACAGTTCAGTTTGCTTATTTGGGCTTTACTGAGTTAAATTTTTTATTTTATTTTTTTTAATTCTCCAAAAGCTTCATTTTATTGGCTGATCATGCCTTACCTCAGCTCCCCCTCAACATTCTGAACACTGGATACTGAAGTAGTATTTTATTTCTTGTTTTCATTATTTTTTTTTATGGTGGTTCTTGTGATATGCTATTAGAAAATTCCCTTTTGTGCAACTCGCACAGATCACATGCAAACTCCACTCAGGATGTCACGGGTGCCTCGTGTCTTATGTCATTCATTGAAACCGGTTTCAGGCAATGGATGACGTCATTCTGCTCTCAAGCTTTTGTCACTGCAGCCCTGAACTCATTAAACTGATCTACACAAAACACTGAATCATTTAAACACACTATAGTCTGCCAGCCAGCAAGTAAAAGTGTGTGTGTGTGAGTGTGTGTGAGGGGTGGGGTGTGGGGATTAAACAATGAGCACTGTAACATGTCAAGCTGTGGCATTTATGCCCTAAAGACATGGTTTTGGTGTCAGCCAGTTTGGCACACTCGCGCAAAAGATGGAAAGAACAGCATAACAGTACTATGACTGCAATGGATTGTTGAAGAGAAGAAGAAATCAGAGTCTCTAAAATGTAAGTAAACCAAGATTAGATTCGGACACCTGTTTGTAGCCTGGAGACAAATGAATCTGCTACACACGAGCCAAACAAACACAGCCTCCAGCTTTTAGAGTCGTACTTGGAGTAAGATTCTCAAAAGAAATTAATAATAAAACAATTTTAAAAAGAAATCAGACAGCCTAAAATATGCTTTTTTGGCCACTTATTATTGTTGAACTCAATTTTGCTTGTTTACAATGTGATAAAACCAAACCTGTCTCCTCTTTCTGCTCTAAAACTGGTATCTGTCATCATGTCTGCTCGTTCTCACTACATTTTAAATTGTTTTATCTTTATTATAAATGTAATTTTCTATTTTCAAGTCTTTTTGCTTTGTATTCCATCCTGGACACTCTCCTCCATGCTGTTGTGTTCACGCTAGTATCCTAGCAACGTAGGAATGTTCCATTTGGAGGGAGTTTGGGCAAAACTAATACAACTTAATTAATAAAACTAACGTTTTGCTTGAATTACGCTTACACTGAAACATTGTAATAAACCAAAATACATTTGTATATACACACACTTAATCACCAAGATGAGCATTTGTAGCCTTTGTTTTATGTGGAGACTTCCAGACGTCCCTCTTCTTGCTGCCACTACGGAGCCCACCAGTCTTCCGCTAACAAACAGCGGGTTGTTGAAGAGGAAACTTGTAACGTAGTTTGATAATAGTGTGAAAAAACAGCACACGAACCTTTTCTGTAAGTTTCGGAGGCTGTTTATACTTTTATGTAGTCATTTTTACTTTAAGCTTTGCAGTAGCGTCTGTCTTGGTAAAAGTGAACCAACTACGAGGCTTCTTGTGAACAGACGACACCGTTAGCGGTCAAATATATGCAGAGCAACAGTTATCTTGAACGTGACAGTGCTACGTGTGTTTTTCGCCACCTAAACGTTAAATATCTACGTTAAACATGCACTTTTAATGCACATTTTGGTGTCTTATCTCACTGGCTGGAACGTAAGAGCCTTTTATGTCCGTTTTTTTCCCCTTTTCTCCCTAATCAAGCCACCGCAGTCACACAGGTACCAGGTGTTCCGCAGCTAATTAAAGTTAATTGAAATCAGCTGTTATCGGTTTACAGGTAGAGCTTTATTTTTAAGTTGTAGAAGAATGGAAGTCGTGTATATCCCTATTTTTGGTGAATTTAACAGGAGAGTACTATATCAAATAAATTACAGCTTAATTAAATATATTTGACTGTCACTTGATAAACAAAATAAATTCACAATTTTCTTGGTCCTGCATTAAGAAAATAAAATAAAATGTGACCATATAAACAGCTACTCAAAGGTCATTTTCAATTATTTTTATTTTCTCTTTGAATTCTTTGAATTATAAACAAAAAACTTTAATTAGTATGTCGTCTCTGCAAGAGTAGATAACACTCCAGAAAAACAACAGCTCTTATCATACAGCTAAGGCAATAATTACTGTTTGATTAGTTTTGTGTCTCATATCTCTCACCTCCTTCAAATATCATAATAATTATAACTTTTGGCGTCTTGTCTCTTTTCCACAACAGATGGAGAACTTCATCCTCTATGAGGAGCTCGGGGCAGGACGCAACTCTGTTGTCTATAAGGGACGAAAGAAGGGAAGTCTCAACTATGTGGCCATCGTCTGCACAGACAAAGCCAAGAGGACTGAGATCACTAACCATGTGGGATCATGTTTTAAACTTACAAACTTGTTAAGATGTCTGATGCATTTTCATTATTCTAAGCCTGTAATTACAAACTATACAATAACAGTTTAAATGCAAAAAGCTATCTTTTAGACATCAGCACTTTGGATCCTTTGTGTAATTCAAATTAAATGAATTCTAAGATCGTGTAGTTAAGAAAAATACTCACTGTATACATATGTTTTGTTTCTCTTTCCTGTTAGGTACGACTCAGCCGTGATCTAGATCATCCCAATATAGTATCCTTCTATGAGTGGTATGAGACAAGTAGCCACCTCTGGTTGGTAGTGGAGCTCTGTACAGGTCAGTATTTTTTTTTCTGGCAGTCATGACACGCAGTCAGATACCATTAGATGTAAAAACTTAATGCTGGTTTTCAGCCAGCACTGTATATGGACTGAGTAATGCAACTAACAGGTCAAAAGGTTTTAGAGATAGTATATACCCTTTATAATCATTTTTTTCCTCTATTATTCACACATATTCAGTATGTATACTTAATTGATTGCTGTTTTTTTGCAACAGGTATCAACCTTGGTCTGAATATTTTCGTCCCTCTTATGCTAGCTTCTTTCTTTTCTCTGTGCTCATATTAGGTGGTTCCCTCGAGTCTGTAATTGTTCACGATGGAAGTCTGTCCGAAGATGTGGTGAGAAGGTTTGGATGGGACTTGGTTAAAGGACTAAAATACATCCATGAATTAGGAATCATTTTGTCTGACCTGACCCCTGCTAAGGTTTGCATCTGCATTCATATGTATGTAAGACTAAAAGTTAAACAGCAATATTATAATGATTGTATAAACACAATATTTCTCCTTATGCTACCCACAGGTTCTACTAGATGGCAGTGGCATTCTGAAGTTTGGGAACTTCTGTCTGTCCAAGGCAGATGGAGAGACATTGGAGGAATTTTTTGCCTTGCTTTCTACGTCTGTAGAGACAGGGGGAGAAGACAGTGAAGAGAACTTTGACGACCTGAGGAAGCAATTACAAGGTCAGATGTCTACTTTTAATCTTGCCAGTTCTGTATACCTTTAAATGTTGATTAATGGAGAAACTGAATTCATTAATTAGGGCACAGTCTACAACGAAAGTGTGCACACATCTATGCAATATCATCTAAATGTCAAATAATTGAAAATTGCACCAGCAACTGATTGTTATTATTTCTAAGTTGACAAGATGAGTGTATTAGTGTATTATCTTGTGAACAATCAAAAACAAATTATTTAGAAAGATTGCATTGAAAATAGAAAGTATAAACTCAACAACAAAAGTGAATACACGAAGGCTCAACGACACACAAGTGTAAAACAAAATGGCACACAATTAGTAATTAGCCTGATTGCCTACACATGGTTTTAAAATGACCTTTGTACACCAGAATTTTCGAAATTTTGGACCTTTGTGTTGTGTCTATCTGTGTTTCTACATCATGGCTCCACATAGAAAAGAGCAGAAAAATGTGAAATTTGTATCTTCCTGTACCAATCATTGTCAAGCCTCTTGGATATGCTTTTGTGTTTGAGCGCTTTCCTTCTCAGCTGAAAAATAAGAGTCACTCCACAATTTCTCTTCTGTAACAAATAACAAAAAGATAAGTCATAAGATGAGCTATAGCACCACAAGTCAGAGTTGTAATGGCCGTCCTCATCACAGACCATGTGCTATTTGAAAAATCTAACTTTATTGAACTGATGGGCAAGTGCTTCAAGCTTAGCACAGGGGCTTTACTGGAAATTATAATTTTTGTGATGGCTCAGAGAGAGTGAAAGATTGTATGTAATGTCAACGTCTATAGCCAAAACCTAGCCAGGGCTACCACAGTGAATGCATAGTCCTGAGAGTGAAGCACAAAGGTGGGAGTTTAATTATTTGGGGCTACATGAGTGCAAAACTTGTGAGGGATGTGACACAAAGTATTGAAAATTCAGTAAGGAAAGGTCTCCTGACCTTTGTTGCACTGAGCCCCTACAGTGGGACCTACATTTTAATATGGTTTAAATGTAGTAACTCTAAGTAGTGTTTTAGATTTTACATACAAACAAATACGCTAATGGTAACTGTGTAAGTTGTATAATTATGATTAGATGTTACAATTCTGTATCGTTTGACACTGAAGTGATTTTGCACTCACTTCTGTTTTATACTTTTTGTGCTGGGTATGCAACAACAGGAGATGTATTTCACTTCACACAAACAGCTCATTCACAGGTGAATAAATGGCAGAAGGCAGAGGAGGGAGTAGCTGTTGTAGTGATGACATCAGAAACTAAAACATTTCATACGTTGTGGAGCATGCATATTCCAAGAGAACTTGATGACCTAAAGAAGCCAACTTTTCATCAGTAATTTAAATAGTTTGTTCAATGTTATATTATTTGATTGTCTGATTGTCC